CCTGAAACCTGACCCCAAAGGGTTCCTGAGCCCTTTCTGCCCTTTTCCTGACTTAATTTGTGAACCCCACTTGGACCCCAATAGCGGATTGCTCCAGGACCTTGTGACCTCCTGGTTAGTGACCTGGCCCCCAGCTGGAGCCAATCAGGGCCCTCTGTGACCCCCTTGTTAGTGACCCCGCGCGACTCCCGTTTGACCCCCGCTGGCCTCCTTGCCCCTAGAACATGACTTCGGTGGTGGAGCCGGTGCTGGACCTCACGTACCCCGTCACCTCCATGTTCACCGGGTCGGCCTTCAACCGCGGCATTCACCGCGTCTTCCAGGACAAGCAGATCGAGGTGTGCCCTCCTCCCTTGCCTGCCCTGCCCCTGCTGCTCCCTGCGGGAGCCCCCACCCCTCTGCCACCCTGGTCCCTGTCCCCACAGGACCTGTGGCTGCCGTACTTCAACGTGACCACGGACATCACCGCCTCAGCCATGCGCGTCCACAAAGATGGTGGGTGCCCCCAGCCGGCCCCACAACAACCTCTGTGGCCGTGTCGGGAGGGGGTGCAGGGAGGGCAGCTGAGCATCTGGGACATTGTTAACATGAGTGACCGTCCGCCCCGGCCTGAAGGCCGAGCACTAACCACCACCCACTAATGCCCCGGAGGCCCCAGGTATGTCTGTCCTCAGGGGTGGGGGGCTGGAAGGCTAGTCAGGCCCTTCACCCCCTCACCGCCGTCCCCGCAGGCTGCGTGTGGCGTTACGTCCGGGCCAGCGCCTCCTACTGTCCCTACCTGCCCCCACTCTGCGACCCCAAGGACGGGCACCTGCTGGTGGATGGGTGCTACGTCAACAACGTGCCAGGTCAGCGAGCCCACCGGGCTGGCCGGGCCTCCGAGCGTGTCTGAGCGTGTCTGTGCGTGTCTGTGTCTGTGTGTCCCGCTGGGCAGGCTCCCTGTGGCGATACGTACGCGCCAGCATGACGCTGTCGGGCTACCTGCCCCCGCTGTGCGACCCGAAGGACGGGCACCTCCTCATGGACGGCGGCTACATCAACAACCTGCCAGGCAAGTGGCTGCCCCCTCGCTCCCACACAGAAGCGCGCGCAGCACACGCGTGAGCAGGTGAGCCCATGTGCAGGCACACAGACAGGCGCCCGGGAGGCCACGCCCTCGCACGCCTGTCCCTCCACGCTGCCGCAGACACACACGAGCGCACACGCACAGATGGCGGGCACCCGTGCGACCAAGTGAAGCTCTCGCGCTCACCTGCTGACCTCACCCGCGCCGATGGCAGGCCGCCGGCTGTGCAGTTCGACGTCTCACATACCCCGAAGCGAGCGCATACGAACAGACAGACGCGTGGGCTAGGTACACGCACGCTCCCAGGCCCCGCAGGCTGGGGGGGGGAGGGGTCAGCAGACGACAGTGAATCCGGCCCCCGGCCTGATTTCGCAAATGAAATCACACAGCCACGCCCAGTCGTTCACGCTCCGTCTCGTGGCCGCTCCAGTGCCGCCGTGGCAGAGTCGTGCGTGGTTGTGACGGAGACCACGTGGCTGCAGAGCCAGAGTTGTTTTCTCTGTGGCCCCTTACGGGAAACGTTGGCAAACCCCCGCCATCGGTGCTCTGCACAGACGCACAGCCTAACAGCCACACGCATGTGAGCAGGTGTGCACAGATCCGTAGGTGCACAGGCGCTAGGAGACTTGCGAGGGCCATCCAGGTGGGTGCACAGAGACGTCGACACACGCCGAGGTGTGCGTGCTCACACACACACAAACACACACACACACACAGGAGACACACACAGGTGGCAGGTGTGTGCAGGCTCGTGCAGGCGCACGGACGTGGGCACATGTTCTGAGACACACAAACAAGCTCGTGAGGGACTCAGGCAAAGTCTGACGGAGACTCAGGTCTCTTTCCTGGCTGCAGGACCCTGTCCCCATCCCCCCAGGCCCTCCCAGACCCACTCGGGGACGCTCAGTGGGACACACGGACGTGGAAACACAGACCCACAGACACACCGGCCTCCTCACCGGGCCATCACCTGCCCTTCACCCCTCTGTCCTGTTTCTCTGAACCTCCTTGTTCCTGTTCATTGTTCTCTGTCCCCGTCTCAGCCCCAGATCTCCCCCCAGATCCTCTCTCCCTCCGAATCTCTGATATCTCTGCCCAGAAAATCTCTGTTGCTGTCTCTGCATCTCTGCATGTCTCTCCCTTGTGGTTTGACGTCCACGTGTCTCTGTGTCTGTTTTCTTGCCCCTTGGTCTTCCAGCCTCTGTGACTCTATCTTCCTGCCTCTCCATTTCCTGGTGTCCTCACCACCCTGTCTCTCCTTATCACTCCCTCCACACCTCTGCCCCCCCCCCCCAACGTGTCTGACTTTGTGTTTCTTCCCCAGCAACGTTGTCTGTACCTCCATCTTCTCCACCCCTCTGGCCCCACTTCCCCAGACCTAAAAGCTCCACCGTCTGACCCTACGTCCTCAATGTCACGGGCATCAATGCCCATGCCCTTTGCATACTGGCTTGTTGTTTGCATGGTTTTCGTGTGTGACCTTTTGCATGATGGTGTTTGTGGGACTGGGTTGAGCTTCCCTGCCCTGGGCTCTGGCGGGGAGCCACCTGCTGACCGCCCCCGGCCCCACAGCGGACATCGCCCGCAGCATGGGTGCCAAGACGGTCATCGCCATCGATGTGGGGAGCCAGGATGAGACGGACCTCAGTACCTACGGGGACAGCCTGTCTGGCTGGTGGCTGCTGTGGAAGCGGCTAAACCCCTGGACAGACAAGATCAAGGTTCCAGACATGGCTGAGATCCAGTCTCGCCTGGCCTACGTGTCCTGCGTGCGGCAGCTGGAGGTTGTTAAGTCCAGCTCCTACTGCGAGTACCTGCGCCCGCCCATCGACTGCTTCAAGACCATGGACTTCGGGAAGTTCGACCAGATCTATGTGAGCGGGTGGGAGCGACATGGTGCCTGTATGGTGGGCTGACAGAGCTTTACTACTTAGAGCCCAGAGCAACATGAGGGGAAGGATTCTAGGGCTCCGTTCCCAGATGGGATCTGTGAGGAACAGAACGGTAATTGATTTGTGATGTCTGCAGTGCGTGTGGCAAGGGAATGTGGCTGTGCATGTGCTGTGTAAGAACTAAGATTCCCGTTATGTGCCAGCTGCACTGCCTGAAGCACTGTCTAGCGATTTCTAAAGCCATTTTCTGCATCGGTGGGAATGAGAACATTGGTCAGTTTGTAACGTTTGCCACAAGCATGGGAGAGGTGTGGAGTAGTGCATATGTCACCTGCCACTGACCTGAAAAATATGTCCTAGCCCATGCTAGCTGAAATTGACTGGGAGCCGCTGACCAGAGCCCTGAGTAAAAAAGTCTGACCCCCTTTATGGGCTCACTAGGAAAGCGTGCCGTGATGGATTGGTGACGTCTGTCACGGGCACGGGAGATGGTGATATCTACAGACGTATTGCATTTTTGCAGACCTTGAAATAAGCTTACACAACATCATCTCAGGCCATTCGGTACTTGGCACACTGCACAGGGCTGAGTGGGAAAGAACATAGATTGATTGGTAATGTCTGACAGGCACAGGATGAGATGATTGGTAATGTCTGACGGGCACAGGATGAGAAGCGTGGGGACAAGTGTGCGACCTATGGCTGGCTCTGAAATAGGTTTAGTCTCAAATGCCAGCTCCCCCAGAGCATCAGGCTGTTGAGAGGCCAAGGAAAGGTCAACAGAACAGAGCTGAGGAGAGAAGGGGAGGCAGAGAAGACCGTTAGGGGAGTGGGGTTTGCGGGCATGGCCTCAGCCTTCTTGCCTCCTGCAGGATGTGGGCTACCAGTACGGGAAGGCTGTGTTTGGGGGCTGGAGCAGGGGCGACATCATTGAGAAGATGCTCACGGACCGGCGGTCTGCTGACCTCAATGAGAGCCGCCGTGCAGATGTAAGCCCGTGACCTACCCCAGTGGGGCCACTCTTAAAACTAGATTACCCCAACCCGTCTCAGGTGACCACAGACCTCCTTGGATTTAGCTGAGACCCTCAGACCAGAGAACTCCCCCTAGGATCTTCGGGCCCCCAAAACACCACAGGCCCTGATGCTCCAGGATCCCACAGAGTCCCCGAGACCTTCACTTAAACCTGCACTCCACAGGTGTTGGCCTTCCCCAGCTCTGGCTTCACCGACTTGGCAGAGATCGTGTCCCGGATTGAGCCCCCCACGAGCTACGTTTCCGACGGCTGTGCTGATGGTGAGGGGCCCAGGTCACTCCTAGGAGGGTGGGGCTGGGCCTGGGATTGGTGGGCCCCTGGCCCCACACCTCACCTTGCTCCCTGATTCCAGGAGAGGAGTCGGATTGCCTGACAGAGTATGAGGAAGATGCAGGGCCTGACTGCTCGCGGGACGAAGGGGGCTCTCCTGAGGGCGCCAGCCCCAGTACCGCCTCTGAGATGGTGAGAGCAAGTGGCCCAGGCCCTCCCCAAGGTGGGGTGACACGGCTGATGCATGCCGAGCGGCGTGCACCAGCATCCCGGGCTCTGTGATACGTGTTGATACGTGTGTGTGACACTCCTGTCCCCTCAGGAGGAGGAGAAGTCAATTCTCCGGCACCGGCGCTGCCCGCCCCCGGACCCTCCCAGCTCGGCTGTGGATGCCTGAGGACCTCGAGAGGGTCCCCTGGGGCTGGGCTGGGGGCGAGCCCTGTGGGGGTGGCTCATTCCCTCTCTGCCTGCTGCTATGCCTGCGACCCTCCTGGGTCCCCCTTGATCCCAGCGCCCAGGGCGCACACACTGGACTGCCCTGCCCCCGAGGGGAGGGACAGCACCGCACTGAGGACCCTGGATCAGTTACTCCCAATAAACCCTCCCCTCTTGGAAGTGGCCTCATGTCATCTTTGGGTGCAGGGGGCACCTTGCCCCACCTTCCACGACTGAGATGGCTGGAGCTGGGGCCGAGACAGCCTTGAGCTTGTCACAGCCCCCGCCCCTGCTGCCCCCTTGCCCAGCCTCAGGCCCAGCTTCCCCGAGGGCTCTCAGAATTCACAGGACCTCCGAATACCACAGGCAACCCCCAGGGATCACAGGTGTTCTTGGGTGCCCACCCTGGCACCCCTTATTTTCACCCTGCCCTTGGCTGGTCCTACTGTGTACACGTGCTTTGTGTGCTACGTGTGCCTACTGTGTGCGCAACAGAGCCTGGCTCCCAAAGGATGCCCTGTGCAAATACGCAGGCACACGTGGGCGCACACGCGTGCACGGAGCTCACAAACTTTCAGAGACTCCCAGGCATGACCCTACTGTGTGTTCAGCTGAGGCTGCACAGAATGAGCCAGTCCCGACGGCGCGCAGAGACCTGTCCCCAGGGGTTCTCAGTCACCGTCTTGGTGTGTCTAGACTGTGGAGCCGAACTGCTTGGTGTGAGGCCCCAGGCTGGCTTCTTACTGGTGGCCTCAGGCTTGTGGCTGAGCCTCACCTGCTCCACCTGTGAAGTGACGCTGGTAGTAAGTGCCCCATCAGATGCCACTGCTACTGTCACTACAGCTGTCGCTCCTGGGCTCTAGCCTGGGCCTGAGCCCGGGCCCCTCGAGGCTCCCAGCCGGCGCCCCTACTGTGTGCTGAAGGCCTTTTGGGGGCTCCCAGTCACTGCCTTTACCACATGCCGTTAAGTGCAAAATTCGGTGGCACCGTTGTGCAGCCATCCCCACCGTCCCCCTCGAGAACTTTCTCACCCGAAACTGAAACTCCACCCCAATTAAGCACTAACTCCCCCTTGCCCAGCCCCAGCACCCACCAGCTACTTTCTGTCTCTATGGGTTTGACTCCTCCAGGGACCTCATATAAATGAAATCAGATAGTATTTGTCCTTCGGTGTGACTGACTTATTTCGTTAAGTATGACGCCCTCAAGTGTCATCCGTGTAGCAGGCATCAGAACGTCCTTCCTTTTGAAGACTGAATGATATTCCGTTGTACGGATGGATCACGTCTTGTTCATTTGTTTACCTGTCAGTGGATGCTCCTGGCTCCTTCCACCTTGGGGGCGTTGTGAGCAACGGTGCCGTGAACACGGGTGTACACATATCTCTGCTTTCACTTCCGCTGAGTGTGGACCCAGAAGTGGCATTGCCGCGTCATACGGTCATGCTCGGTTTAACTTTTTGAGGAACTGCCACACTCTTCCTCATGGTGGCTATACCACTCGACCTTCCCACCAGCAACACACTGGCCTTGGGAGGTTTTTGAGTGGGGAATAGTCAGATCTGTGTTTCCAGAAGGGGATGGCTCACAAGGGACCGAGGAGAGATGACTGGGGCAGCGGACCCAGGGAGGGGAAGGAGGGACAATGTCCGAGACATTCACAAGAAAATTTGCCAGAATCCAGACTTTGATGCACACCGGGGGGCAGGGTGCAGGGGACGCCAAGGAGGACGAGGGCACCGTGGCACAGGTGACCAGGGAAGGGCCTCTTTGTCAAGATGGGATGTGGAGAAAGGAACAGGAGTAGGGGGTCATTCTGGGCTCTGTTCTGACCACGTTCAGTGTGAGGAGCTTGAGGGGCCGTCCGAAGGGAGATGGTGGGGGCTCTGGACATTTGGGTTGGGGACTTAAGAGAGATTTGTGCTGGGACCAGTCAGAAGCACCAGGGCAGTGGTGGAGATTGATGACATGGGGATCGATGACGTTGTCCAGAGAGAGGCTGTGCCGAGCGAGAACAGCCCTGGGGCTCACGTATGCACTGTCTTCTAGATACTTACCTGAAGCTCCCCTCCTTGCCTTGAAGTGGCCCAGGGGCAGCTGGGGTGGGCTGAGCCCCCTAACAGTGACTCTGTGGGCTTGGAGAGCACTCCTCTTCCAGGCGGACCCAGTGCGAGCTGGAGTTGGGCCGGAGCTCCCCACCGTCCCCAGGTATATTGCTTTGCTGCGGCCACCTTAACAAAGTACCACAGGCTGGGGGCCTTCAACACAGACCTTTATTTCTCAGTTCTGGGGTCTTTGAAGTCAAAGATTAAGGTGCCAACATAGCTGGGTCCTGGGGAAGGACTTTTCTGGGCAGGCTGCCAACCCCCTGTCGTACCCTCGTTTGTCAGAGAGAGGGTGAGAGATCTCTCTGGGGTTTCTCTTATAAGGGCACTCGCCAATCCCACTCGTGAGGACTGCACCCTCGTGACCTCCCCGAGGCCCCATCTGATGCCATTACATTGGAGGTCACCACTTCTACATACAAATTGGAGCAGGGGACACAAACCTTCAGTCAGGGAGTCGAATTCTCTGTTGTGCCAATTCCTGGATTATGTGGAGGAGAGAGCTGTCTTTCCTGGGCTTTGGCTCACATGATTTTCCTACTGCTTCTGAAATTAATCATCACAAACTTGGTGCTGAAAGCCACACACGTTTATTATTTTACAGTTCTGGAGTTCAGAAGTTCAAAATGGGTCTCTCTGAGCTAAAATCAAGGTGTCTGTGGGGCTGCATTCCTTCTGGAGGCCCTAGAGGAGAATCTGTTTTCTTGCCTTTCCATCTTCTGGGGGCACCTGCATCCCTTGGCTTGTGGCCGCATTGGAAGCCAGAGGTGGCTGGCTGCATCTTTCTTGCGTTGCATCACTCTGACCTCTGCTTCCAGTCTCCATCTCCTTCCCTGACTCTGACCCTCCTGCCTCCCTCCTGTAGAGACGCTTGTGACGGCATTAGGCCCACGTGGGTAATCCAGGATCATCTCAAGATCCTCAGTGTAATCACTTCTGCAGAGTCCTTTCTGTCAGGTAGGGGGACATTCACAGGTTCTGGGGACTAGGGTGTAGGCATATTTGGAGGAGGCGGGCGTTATTTTGCCCAAGCACACGGGCTGAGCTGATAGAAGACCCTCAATAATTAGTCATTTTTGACATTCTGACTATTTGTATCTGGCACACCAGAGCCTTGAAGGTAGGGAACTTCATCTCCTGTACCCCATTGGGAACCTGGTCTCAGGGTGTCAGCACCATGGACAGCGAGAGAGAGAGAGAGAGAGAGAGAGAGAGAGAGAGAGAGCTGTCCCAGGTGCTGATAAGTCCCCCTGTCTCTACCTTCCCATCCAAGACCGTGACATCGCTGCCCTCAGCAAATCTCTAGGTTTTAAGAGGCACATTAAGCTGAAGATTCAGTCCAAGTTTGCCCCTTGTCAAAATCTCCATCCTAATGGCCTTCCCCTCCACCCTCACCCATGCTGTTCCAATTACACCAGCATTCTTTCTTTTTCTCAAACTCTCCCACCTTCAAGCCCTCTGCTTTTCACTCTTTGTGTAGCTGAATAAGTCTGTTCTCAAATATCACTCCTTCAGACTGTCTGAAGCTACTGTCTAAAGTAGCTTTCCCACCCCCGCCTGCCCCGTTTCCTTGCTTTTATTTATTTATTTTTTTAATGTTTATTCATTTTTGAGAGACAGAGAGAGACAGAGCATGAGCGGGGAAGGGGCAGAGAGAGAGGGAGACACAGAATCCAAAGCAGGCTCCAGGCTCTGAGCTGTCAGCACAGAGCCCGACGCAGGGCCTGAACCCACGAACTGCGAGATCATGACCTGAGCCAAAGTTGGACGCTCAACCAACTGAGCCACCCAGGCGCCCCAAAATCACAATCTCTATCCACAGTTGTTTTATTTGTTTATTTAGTTGTGTATATCTTTCTGAATGAGACACGCTTGAATAGAAGTTCCATCACTGGGGAAACTTTGCATAAAAGAGCTCCTGGCTCATAGTAGCTGCTCAATAAGTGCTTGTTGAATGAACCCAAGTTCTGGAGATAAATCAAAGATGCTTGAGGTGTCTCCCACTCTATTGGGAGTCTTGGCACCCCACCCTGAGACCACATAGTTTCCCCTTTCCTTTAAGCACAAATTAACACCATCAGCAGCAATAACAATAACAATGAGCTTATGGGAAAATTGCTATATATCAGGCCTTGCACTGATGCATGCATGTTCTCTCTGAATTCCTACAGTAGCTCTATGGAGGACGTATTATTATCATCCCATTTTATAGGAGAGAAAACAAGCTTCTGAGGGGGTTAAGTTACACAGTTGTTAATAGATGTAGCCAGGATTCATATTCATAAACTTACTCACCACCCAATGTTATTTCCTCTGGAGGTGGACTTGTTGAGATTTCCATTTAAGGCTGCAATCCTGGGGGCAGCACTGAATCCTCAGGGAAGAAGTCTTCCATGGACCTAGAAGGAACTCCCTGATCACTAGAGCCTAAGATGCCCCAAGCCTCACCAACTTAGACTGGCATCAATCTTTCCTACTTTTTCTCACCGATCCTGGGCAGGATGGGACTGCTGGCACCTTGAAGTTGGAATGGAGCCTGCTATGGGCTGAATTGTGCCCCCCTCCCAAATGTATATGTTGAAATCCTAACCCTCAGGACAACAGAGTGAGACTCTATTTGGAGATAAGAGTTTTAAAGAGATAATAAGCCAAAATTAATCATTCATGACTAGTGTCCTTATAAAACGGGGACATTTGGACACTAGGACAGATACATAGAGGGAAGACAATGTGAAGACACAGGGAGAACATCAACTACAAAGCCAAGGAATGCCTCAGTTCACCAGAAGCTAGGAAAGCGGCATCAGACAGATGCTCCCTCACAGCCCTCAGAGGAACGAACCCTGTTAACTTGGATCTCCGACTTCTAGCCTCCAGAACTGGGAGACAATAAATTTCTGTTGTTTAAGCCACCGGCTCTGTGATCCTTCGTTATGGAAGCCCTACCAAACTAATATAAAGCCCTCGGCTGGACCCAGGTACCATGATGTGGATGGGATGGTGTCTCTGCCAGGATAAATTAGAATATGCTGCTGTAAAAAATGACCCCAAGGTCTTGGGAGCCTAAAACCATACAAGATTAATTTTTTGCTCTCAAAATGTATCTATTACAGATCATCTACGGATTCTTTCCCATGTGCCTCACTCCTCACCCCACGTGATGAAACAGCCACTATCTGGAATGTTTCAGATCACTGTAGCGGAGGAAGGAAATCTCTGGGGCGGGGTGGGGGGGGGGTGGTCTTGCATGGCAATTAGATACTCTGGCTGGGAAATGATACATTTCCACTCACTACTCATTGCTCAGAACAAGTCACATGGCCTTACTCAACCATGAGGGGGCAGGAAAGAACAGCTCTGCTGTGCGCCAAAAAGAGAGAGCATTGGAAATCTTTGGAGAAATCATTCATCACTTAAGAGTTAGTGGGGCTTCCAATGGAGCTTCTTGGGCTGTCCAGGCTACTTCTCCCTGGTTCTAGAGATTAAGGCTCAGCTAATGCTAAGAAATCTTGGGGTTCCAATGAGGGCCTGGGTTCTGGATCAGGAGGTTTACCTGCAGCTCAGAAGCTGACCCAGTGGAGTGGGAGCAGAGGAGACCGATGGAGCCAAGCTAACAAGAGGGTTTGCTTTACATGTTTCTGGCCAGCTCTCTGAAAATGGCCACATAGAGGTCAGAACCCCAGGACATCTGGAAAGCTGAGTTAAAGGGTCTCTCCTGTATAGAACGATCTCCTAGGATCTCTCCCTCCCCCAAAATAAAAACAGATGTCCACCAAAATCTTGTCCACAGAGGTTCATATGAGCATTATTCATAATAGCCAATCAGATACCCACCCACTGATGAACAAATGAACAACCTGTTATACCCACACAATGGAATATTATTTGGCCACAAAAAAGAAGTGAAGTACAGACACATGATACAATGTGGATGAAACCTGGAAACTTTATGCCAAATGAAAGAATGTAGGGGCACCTGGGTGGCTCAGTCAGTTGAGCATCCAACTTGGGCTCAGATCATGATCCACATTTAGCGAGTTCGAACCCCACAATGGGCTCACTGCTGTCAGCACAGAGCCCACTTCAGATCCTCTGTCCTCGCTTCTCTCTCTGCCCCTCCCCGACTCGCACCCATGCGCACCTGCGCGTGCACACACACACACTCTCTCTCTCAAAAATAAATAAACGTTAAAAAAAGAAAGAATGTATAATGTGATAATTTGATATACCCATACATTGTGAATGGATCCCCCACTGAGTTAATGAATATATCCATCACCTCACATATTTACCATCCCCCTCTCTGGTGAGTACATTTAAGTTCTACTCTTGGCAAATTTCAGTTGCAAAATACAGTGTTATTAACTATAGTCTCCGTATTATATATCAGCTCCTCAGACCTTATTCATCTTAGAACTGAAAACTTGTGCCCTTTTACCAACGTTTCCCTATTTCCCCCATCTCCCAGCCCCTGGCAACCACTTTTCTCTTCTCTGTTTCTATGAAGTCAACTTCCCCCTCCCCCACCCCAGATTCCACATGTAAGTGATGCCTTGCAGTATTTGTCTTTCTCTGGCTTATTTTGCTTAGAATAATGCCCTGCCATTTCATTCATGTTGTTACAAATGACAGGATTTCTTTCTTC